CAACACACAGAACTTGCGATATATCAACGCATGCGAGGTGCATGTGCAATGTGAATGGAAGTGGCGAAACGCGCATCTCGCGCCGCTCGACCGCCTGAATCCTTGGCAGCCCGCGAGGCGCTGCCGAGTAGAACCCAAGGACATGTTACGCCACCGAGAAGGAGCAGTTTGCCGCACGGGCGCGCGACCGCACCTAAACTAGCAGGTTCCAAGCCAGCTGCGAAGGCCTGGACCTGCGATTACCTAAAGCCGACTTCGTGCAAGGCCCACTCCTCAGCCCCCCCCCCCTCGCCATCCTCGCCATCATCGTCGGCGGGAGGTGGTAGAAGCAACGCCTGCTGCTGCGGGCGGAACTCCAAGCGCCTCGCATGCTTCGGCCTGCTCGCGATGGCAGACCTCGCCGACGCAAGAGCCTGCTCGCGAAGGCGCTTCTGGCGACCCTCTAGCCAGGCGTCCTCGGGACTGTCTGCGAGCACGCTCAAGTCGAAAGACCTCCGCTCGAACTCCGCCTCGACGGCTGCGATGGGTCTGGCATGCATCGCCCCCCTGGGATCCAAAACCCACGCATTCGGGCCGCGCTCGAGGGCGAACCGGCCCTTCACGACGAACAGCGAGCTCTTGCGAGTGAACTGCGCCGCGGCATCGGAGCTGCAGAACTGAAACTCGCAGTCGGCAGTGCACTCGCCATCATCAGGCACGGGCGCGACGTCACTAGAAGGCACGCGAGTCACACGCTTGACGCGGTTAGTTGCCCACTCGAAGCTGAAGACGCGTGGCGCCCCAGTCGACTGCGACATCCTCGCGGACTGTATCTTCGAAGAGAAAGGCCCCCAACGACAGCCAATGTCGATCGCCCTCTGTCTCGCGGCCTGAGCGCGTTCACAGGCGTCCCCAACGGGATCTCGTCGCGGTCGTTGACCTGGAAGTGCTGACAGAAAATGTCGTCGATGGCCATGCCGCCCTCGTCGTGGATCTCCTCGGCGACGAGCTTCGACGGAGGGTTCGGCAACGACAGGTAGCAGGCGACCTTGACCTCAACATCCAAGCACCCGAAGAAGGCTTGTTTCACGATCGCACTGTAGATAGGACGGGGCTGGGCAGCTGCAGCCGGGGGCCTCTCCACCAGCCTGGCGCCAATGGAGCTCCACAACTGCTCGCCAAGACTCGGGCCCCTGAGCATCACGTCGATCACCTGCTGGACGCAATGCCTCGCGCGAGCCCTCTGAGCAGCGACGCGCGCGTCGGTGCTGGGCTTCGCCTTCGAGTCTTCGGGAGCTCGTCAGCACGCGGGACAGCGTCGGGGTCGCTGGATTTGCCAGCGAAGACGTTGGTCGCCCACATGCTGTGAGTGAGAACGCGCGCGCTGGAGGACGCGGCCACTGCGCGCGCTGCCAGCGAAAACAGCAAACGACCCAAGGCGCGCTGAGCCAAAGGAGCTACGGACGACAACGCCCGCCATGAGACGATGCTCTCGGGCCCAAACCAAACATGTCACACTGAATGAACATCCCGAGGCCCCAACTGCAACGACGCGGCCACGGGCAGTGACAGGATTGCCCCCGAATCTGAGACCCCTCGAAAAAGGCGCGGAACAAAGCGCGGAGGAGGAGGGCGAGGAAGAAGAGAAGGAGGGAGGAAGACGAGGAGGAGGAAGGAGGAGGAGGAGGAGGAGGGGGAGGACGTCTGACGCAACGCTGGCAAGAGGAGAACTGTCTTGCCTGCGCCGCTTGCAGCGCCCGCGATGTCGCGTTATCTGCTACGCCGCCACGATGACAACTGATCCGTGCTAGCTGCGGTTCCGTTACTAATGTCTGCGTGGGCACTGCGCTGATATTATGTACCTGAGCTTTTTCTTTATCGTCCTCTACCTTCAAGTTGCGAGATCCTATCATCCTCTCCTATCCTCTGGGGACAAGCGCACTGGAGCGGCCAACCAGCGACCCCATGGACATGGATATGTGCATTGCTTACGACCTCCGATCCCCGGCGACGCCCCAATCGGCCCTTCCCCCTGCCCCCCCCCCCACCCCCACCCACCCACCCACCAACCCCGCCCCGCGCTGCGCGTTCGTCTCTCATTGGGGAAGCTCTTCAGCGAACACGCGCTGGCTAGTCCGACGCGCTCGATTCTCAGATTACTAAGGCCTACAAAATTTGGGCCAACACTGTAGTGCAAGAGCTCTGCCCGACTATGGGCATAACGATCCCCTACTATGGGGCCAGGGGCAAGGGCCCCGACGCGCGGTGGCGCCCCGTGCTGGGACGCGACCGCGGTTCGGTCCGTTACCCTGAGCTCGTCAGTATGAGATGGCTGCATTCGGCTTACCAGGCTTTCGTTTCGCAGTTTGTCCATGAGTCTGAAGACTTACCTGTGGTCAGTCCTGATGTTCGCAGAAGGGCTCGTCCTCTCGCTTCTCCTCCCGATTTCGCTCAGAAGGCTCAAAGTGAGTTTTCAATAGCTTTCCAGGTACACACATACACACACACACGCACAATCCCCGATCGAGCTCTAACCCCCGTCCAATACTGGACGCGATAAAAAAGGCACGTGGTGCATGGCCTGCCTCTGGAACGCTTCGGCCTCGCAGGCAACTTCGAATCAGCCACGTCGCCTGGGCCCCACCTGGCGACCATATGCGCCAACTCGTTCTGGCCAGGGCTTTGCAGCTTGAAATGCAGATGTTGATGTAATTTGCGCAACTCCTCTGCCCATAATATGATAAGCCAGCGCTGCAAATATAGTTCAATTTTGTCTCGGGCGCGCCTGTGCACGTTGGATCATTCATCGTCGTCGTGCTTAATGGCGCCAGCTATGCATCTCATCATGCGCCTCTGCGTTGAAGCGAGCTTGACAAAGTCGGCAGAAGTCAAAGGAGCTGTGGAGAGGCCATAGAGCACAATAGGCGCGACGATACTGTCAAAGAGACGAAATCTGAGAAGAAGATCCACGCGCCGGTTGGTCAGGGCAGGGCGCAATTTGCGGTATTTCGCCCATGCGAACCGCAGCCGGTTTGCCAGAATTGTCTGTCCTCAGTTCTTTAGGTCGCCCGGAGACTTGTTACGGAGATATACGTGGAATTGCCCGTCTCTCGAGACCCCAATGAGACCGCCTGCTGCACCCACAAACCATGGGCTGCCACTTTGAACGCAATTGCCCGCCAAAATGGAGATGTTGTCCTTCTCTGCGCCCAGCTCCAAGCCGACCTGGCGTAGCTCTTCGGCGAGAAAATCTAGCATCAACATCAATTCGCTCAGGCTCGCGGCGTATATGAGGTCATCGGCGAACCTACCGTGAGTCAAACGGCGACCAGCAACACCACGCTCGACGTCAACGCCGCGGGTGCTCAAACGATTTGACCATCTTCTCGAGACAAGCTCTAACGCAGCATTGAAAAGCAAAGGGCTCAAAGCGTCACCTTGTCAAACCCCCCGCCAGATGTCGAAGGGTCGCTGGCTCTGCAGCTTGCCCCTCTGCCCGCCGTGGATCTCTGCCAAGAGCGCGAGATATGGCC